CATTTTCAATGAAGACCACATTTTTTGCAATAATTCTAAATAATAAAATCGGAGACTCTTCAATTTATTCTATTTTATAAGCAACGTTAAATTAGATCTCTTTCCTCCAATTTCCTTGACGCTTACCTGAATTTTTAATTATTAATCATCCTCAGAATAATTTTAGTGTAGTGAAATTACATCCCACTGCTTCCTGTGGCTGTGAATCGCTAAATATCGTTTGAACTAAATGCTCGTGTCTATAGAACTTCAATACTGATACTCTATTTCAAGAAATATGCAGGAAACTAATTTCTCTCTTAATTGCGCGATTCATGCACAAGATATGCGCATGTAAAACACTGTGCATGCCGCGCGCGCTGTGATGCCTCTTGATATAGGGTGATTACAAAGTAAATGGTTATCATAATATAGCTAATGGTATCATTTTTTTTAATGATTTATTATACGTTCCCATGATTTAAATATTATAACAAATTCCTACTTAGCTTATCTCGTTAGACAATTTAAGTATAATTTAAGTAGATTACGGGAGGTAAAGAAGTCATAATTTTATGAAAATAGTAACATGATGTATAAATTTGGCTTTTAATTAAATCCTATTTTTCTTTATTTACATCTATAAATTCTTACGAAGGTACACAATGCTCTTTGACTTAAAAAAGTTCGTCTTTTATTAAAAATTGTAATATCATGAATTGTATGATTTTTTTTTGGAAAAAAATGAGTTTTACTTTGTAAGCACCCTGTACGTGCTGTTGAATGTTCCACACACGTAAGAACCGCGACGGTGGATAGAGAAGATGCGAGGAGGCGCAGGAAAAAGGAAAAGAGCACTTCGGGCGTGGGAGTGGGAACGTTCTCATAGTCCACGGAGCAATGCCTATACATATAAGAAGAAACTTCCACTATATCTTATCCTATCCTACCCACTTCGAACTTCGTTTTGATTATCTTTCTTGTTATTTTTACGACAAAAGTTTTCGAACAATTCTAATTGCAAGTTTCGGAGTATGGCTTTTGCCAAATGAAAAATCTGACGGAAGTTCCGATAATTGCTGCAGACCTGAAACATTAAATCATCGTGTCAATAACTTCAATGACAAACGAGTTTTCATGAAGAATCACACACTGATAGAAATTATTATTTAATAAATTCACGTATTGCGAATTATCAGAATTCATATTTGACACGTGTCGTTAAATAGAAAATTAATATTCTCATTTCCTCGGCCAATTACGATATGAAATATTTGATCTAAATTATACGAGTCGCTCCGTGTACATTTTTCCCATAAATCAACGCCCACATGTATTTTGCATGTAACACGCATGTTCGATTTCATATATGAATGTGACTGATAAATTCAAAACTTATCAGATACAATTATCTATCACTATTTCCCGCATTGTTAGCACGAGAACGAAGAATATTACAAAAAAGGGCCTGGGGATCACTTTTGTCAAGGCTTTCTCCAATTACTTATCCTTTTTTATCTGCGCCTCGATAACTGGTAGAGAAACGTTGGGAGTATCGTCGTAAATATGTCAATAGCGGACGATAATCATAGTTTGGTCAATCGGAAAGCAACGTGCGAGAGTGAAAGCCTAGAGAGGATCGTTTCTTATGTATGTGTTCAGGCTGAGTGGTTGCATGTCAGTAATAAATAGCCTGTGTGCCTATCAGGATGACCAATTAACAATCGAACGATAAGAGAATGGTATCAATCATGGTATACAAATATTTTTTAGATCCACTTTTTTATTATATGGCCTGATAAATCATTTTTCTGTCGATTGTAATATAACATTGTTGGTTTCTATTTCCTGAATGAAACGTCCTGACGACAATTTAATTTTCATTAATCATGTTTCTCGTTTACGTCGCATGATTTAATGAAAGAGAAGAACACAGCTTTGTGCTATTCTCAATTGTCTGCAAAGAAACAAGTCGCATGGATAGAAGAGGAACAAGTGAGGAAATTAAGTTTTATTTATAGGAAGCGAGGTGCTACTTCGGAGATTGAACGAAACTGGATTCGCTGGACCATTGATTATTACCACTCCGTACTTATTCACGTCTCCTTTGACACCGGACTGTCCTCGGCGAGCTTAATAAACGAATTGCTAAAAATAAAACACGCAGGCGGATGCCGTCTGGATTTGATTAAATACATTTAATTAGATAAACGAGGAAATGTAATATCGTGTCGATATGATCACGGTTTAAAAATAACGTCGTTATTCAACTCTGTCACAATATTTTTTTTCCGTGGAATGTTTCACAGTTGGATTTTCTCTGTTTAAAAACTTTGACGTGTGTCATATTTTTGAGGAGGAAACAAAGCGGTTTTGACATGAGAGATCTGTCGTTCTTCAATTCTCTATTTGGGATTCTCTCTAACAACCAGATTGAACCTCTTAAGTTTTTCTCATTTCGTATGTGCAATGAAAATTCCTTGATGCCTGCGTCACCGTGCAGATTTGTGGGCTCATTGTGCGTGCATGCGTGCACGCATCCTGTTCTCGTTGCGAAGGTGTACATGCACGCACAATGCGTTCGCGTACGATGGAAACGCTTCACAGAGCCGGAAACATATTTTATTGATAATAAGAATTTTATTACTTCGCCCCCGAGAGATAACATGTGCTTCGAATGAAAACATAAAAACTGGTGAAACTAGTTATCGAAATAAATTTCATTAATACATGATTCATCGATCGAGCGTGAATCGAATTAAACATTCGCCGTATTTCATAACTTTTAACGCATTACTATAATGAACCGAAGGAAAGAGTTAATACATATTGATGTCCTCATTTGGAAATGCATCTGCAGTCGGAATATTATCTATCCGGTGATTTCCCTTTGCAACTGGTTTATCTCATACTCTGGAACGTTAGATCTCCCATGAGATTTTGAGTAATCGTCGCGGAAACAATTATACATATATCGCGTCTCATTTAAAGAAACACAAAGGCAACAGAATTTTTACACCCTCCGTGTGAGAAATCCAGAGACGAGTCACTGTCTACAAATTTAAATTAAATGCATTTGTATATGTATTATATTTCCGTATAGAGAGATCAGATGAACTTCATTTGCTGTATATTATCTATTATTTTGCAATTGCTAAACAGAAATTTTATCAAATATAAATGTAATTCGCAAATTATTATTATACAATCGCATGCAACGTAATACAATAATTGTAAGTGATAAATCAATAACGTATCTGCATCACAGCGATTCGTTAATAAGTTTAGATTATCAGGTTGACGCGTAAACCTGTTTGGCTCTGGTATTGGGTTCCATCATTTTGCGGTACATTATGGTGATACGTTACTTTAATAGGCGTGTACCGAGTGCCGTAATATATAACGTAACGCGGTACCTTAATGTACGATAATGACACACCGAAACATGCCACCCCGTACCGCGTATTGTGTAACGCAAAACCTTCGTGCCGTGGATAATACATCAGGCAATACATTTTATCCCACATTTAATCGTGTTACAGTGATACATGAATCACTTTCTAAAACGAATGAAAAACAGGATTACTTGTTGGAGCTAATAAATCTTTCATTTATAGAAAGCATTTCATTTTAACGAATTTACAATCTCCATAATCAAACTATTAAGTATAATAGGTATTATGCATTGTCTTTCTTAGAAGCAATAGAAATTAAAAGCATTATTTCCGTGTTATGGAAAACTGAGCTTTATTAAAATTGAAATATGAACATTTCTATAGATAATAAAATTTGCATTCAATAAATCATGCAATAATTTGATATATTTGAATGTGGAAGCTTGAATGGTCTTTCTTTTTACAGGAACACGTGAACTTGGTAGGAAGGGATGGTGAGAATGGACCGGTCCTCGTCTCGGTGAAGGCCGAGACTGTCGCTGGACAGGAGCACTGGAGGGTGCTGCTGCGATTGCGGGCAGGTTCCACCCACGAATTGGTACCGGCCACGAACCTCGGCCCGAATCCGTCGCCGGCGAAAATGGTCAAGGTGAAGTGTCCTTTTTTTTCTTTCACGGATCCGTGGAAGTTCAAGTACTCCCCTTTGTCTCGTCGCGGCGCGGTTCGGTGAAAGCGTCGCGTTCAGAGTTTCTCTCCCTTGAGTTTCTCACCGCCGCTGTTTCTCCTCGTTAGACTTTATTGAGCGGGCGCTTCATAATGGTTAATTGCTATTAAATTATTGCTATGAGAAGCACGGTCCGGTGGGAAGTCGTAAGAAAGCAATAACTGAATTGTTAACATCTACTTCTAATGACAATTTCAAGTCGAGGTAAATTTTTACGTATAGTAGATTTCTTGCCTCATGAAATTGTGATAGTAAATTTTTTTCCCTGTTACATAATACAAACTCGTTATATCTTCAACGAAATTTCTAATGAGTTTAACTGTTTAACTGTTTTCAGTTACAAGCTTTAGCTATCTTTTTTAAATTATTTTGTTTACGACGCTGACCTTGACGAAACGAGTACTCTCAGTTGATATGTTCAATAGTAAACATTTTACGTAACAATATTATTCCATTTAACTAAAAAAAGAGAGGAGGAATACGACATTTGTATAATGACGCGATAACGATAAAAAGATATTGCCTGCAACGAATAGCCCAATAACAATTTGAAAGGAATGTGCCTGGCATTTGGATTAGTGCCAATATCGGCGAAAATAAGTTCAAGGAATTTTTGAATTGTCTCCACTACTAATAGCGGAAAATTTCGTATTGAAATTTCACAATAATTATATTATGAATACATCAAGCGTCGAAGGCAAAATAGATTTTATTATTGCGATAGCTTATCGACATCGTTTAATTTATGTTTAAATTATCAATTCTTCATGAATGAATTATACATCCACCTAATGCATAGACTTCTTTCATTACAGGCGATCAACGAATCTTTAAATGTTAGCACGCTGATGCCCGTGGTCTGCTCTGGTGCCGGTACTCTGATCGCACGATACGACGAACACGCCCTTGTCTCCAGGTTTAAATTCGGCGTTCTTCATCAACGCTCCGGTCAAATCACCGAGGAACAGCTCTTTGGGAATAGGCAAATCACGCCGGCCTTCCAGGAATTTCTCGACCTACTAGGTCAGAAGATTGACTTGAAAGATCACAAGGGGTTGGTATCATATTTAGATATCATACAGTTTCAAATTAATACGATCGTCAAATTATAATTAAAACTGTTTCGTGTCAATCGACTATTAATATTAAGATTCACGCTGTTGAAGAATTAAAAATTTTGCATGTTGTTAAAAATATGATTAGTAACGTTCATTTCATATTGTCAAGGATTTATTCGATTTTTTAAAAACGTGACACCTGCGAATTCCGTGACAATTTTATACCGAGAGATAACTGACGCAGATTTTCATTCTGTTATCGGGAATGCATTGAAACTGCGGCGACGATAAAATGCGGTGTCACGCGACATTCAAATTTGATTGTCAATGTCCACGCAGGTACCGCGGCGGTCTGGACACCCGACACGGTCAGACGGGTGATACCGCGGTGTACGAGTTATTCAGGGGTCGAGAAGTGCTCTTCCATGTCGCCTCGCTTCTGCCGTACAGCCCCGGTGACTCTCAGCAATTGCAACGCAAGAGACACATCGGGAACGACATCGTGGCGATAATATTCCAAGAGGAGCCAACTCCCTTTAGTCCAGATATGATCGCCAGCCACTTCTTGCACGCGTTCATCGTCGTGCAAGTCGTCGACCCCTGCACTCCTAACGCGAGGTACATATTCTTAGATTCCTGTACATATGCACCGTTTCCCTGTAGTAAAGTCGTATAAGATCCGTTGGTTACGAAATCGCTATTCCTAACTTCGCGCAAACATTCGACGAAAATGGTTCGTGGAATGGTATCGCGTTGCTTTGCTAGAGGAATAACACGTTTTCAAGTCGAACAAACATTTTCGAGTCCCTAAAATTTCTAATAGACTTTATTAAAGTACTGACTTAAGAAAACAGAGTCAGAATTCGTTGTATAATTTATAAACTATTTTTGGAGTTTCTTTATTATAAATAAAAATCTTTATTAAAGCGGACAGAAATAATGTCATTTGTATGTTAGTTCTTTGAAAAGTTATTTGTAGGTATTCAATGATATGTTCTATATGTAGGTACAAGGTCAGTGTAACGGCACGGAACGATGTTCCTTGGTTTGGCCCAACTATGCCAACGCCCGCTGTATTTTTGCGAGGAGTCGAATTCAAGGAATTCCTTTTAACGAAATTGGTGAACGCCGAGAACGCAGCTTACAAAGCTGAGAAATTTTCGAAACTCGAGGTGAATATTATTGTCGTACGATTCTATCTAATTATATTTAAAGAATCAATTCGCAGTTTCAACTTGATGATTTTCATATAATCTCACATTTAAAAATGTCACTCAATGAACTGAAATATATTTTTATTATGTTGTAAAAATTTAAACGATTTGATGATTTTGCGAACAGTTGAGGACGAGGTCAGCTCTGTTGGAGTCTCTGACGGAGGAGCTGCAAACGAAAACCGCTGAGTTCTTGGGCGGTGCGATCGGTTTGGGTGGTACCGGATTAGCGTTCAGCGGGAACTGCCCGGTGAGTCCAACGGCGAGCGATGCTTCCGGGTCCGGCAGCGGCGGAAGCGGCTCCAGGTTCATCGATACTGTTCGCAAGGCGTTGATATCTCGCGTCAGGAACGCCTCGACGGAGAGCGTGCCGCAACAGTTGTCAAAGAAGGGTCAGTCGGAGCCGAGCCCGCCGAGCAATCGACAATCGACTACGAAGATCAACAGCAAACGTTCGGTAGAGCCGTCGAGTCCCTTGGGCTCGCCGGATTTGACTCTGAGAAGGGACTCGGAGCGCGGTAGCCCCAGCTTGGGAAGCCAAGACAGTAGCTTATCGAACACAGACAATCAAGATAGCAGTTTAGCCACTTTGCAACAAGACGAGGTCGATCGCAGGGAGTCCGCCACCTCGGTTTCTGCCAGCAATAACGACACCACGACGACGTTGGTGGAGAAGACCTCCGTGTCCTCTGTTCAAAGACTGACTCACGAGAATTTGCGGAAACAGGAGAGAACGACGGAAAAGACGGAGACCACTCAACGAGTCATCTCCGAGAGCGACGACAGCTCGTTGAACAGCGAACTGGAGTTGGACCAGGCTGTGTATCCGGACAGCGACACTGGCCTCGAGTCGATGAGTTCAGCCGAGACTCACGACACCGCCAGGTGTACCACCAAGGATAGCGTTCTGGAGAACGAGAATCTGAGAATGGAAGTCACCAGGCTCAAGTGCGACAAACTGGATCTACTCAGGCAGAACGTCGTAAGTACAGAATTTTGTACTTTCTTATTGTAACGTTTAAAGCATTGCTGAATACGTGTTTTAAATAACAAAACTTTTCTGTTTCAGACCTGTCAACATGACATAAAACGGTTGCGAGAAAAGGAATTGCAACTGCAATCGGATCTCGCAGCCGCCTCGAAGGAGATCCTTCGATTACGAGCCATGCTGAAGGAATGTAAAACGAGTATACCGTTGGATAACAATAATCAGCAAACGTCTACCGTTTAAAGAGTTTGTTGCGGATGTGCTTGATATACCTTGGATCGGTGGACAATTTCCCGTTGCAATTACTAGATTTTAACGAGCGTTAGTTAGGCGCAGTAGTCGAGAACTCTGTATGTACCTTGCTCTCTCGGGAATCTTTTAAAGAAAAGAAAACAAAAGAGTGAAAATCTATCCGGAGAAGTAGTAGTTTGCAGAGAGAAGTTTTCAATCTTGCAATTGGCAAGCTGCTTTATGTTCATTTATTTTTAACTGTGGTCGAACTTCTTTTAGATAGAAATTACGGTACAAACGCTGTGTATTATACTATAAGAGAAAAAGGGTCAGTGAAAAGGTGGTCGTTTTAGAGATATTGTTTTTCCGCTGCACGATGAAACGTGGCAGACGCGTCTTTCGAGAGATATTCGCAACGTAGACGCTAATTGTTACATATAGATATTTGTTTCGCTAATAACCATCATTATTTATCGATTAATTTATTGATAGGCATAAGTTAATCTCCAATAGTCAATACAGTTACAAATAAATAATCACACGAGCGTAAACCACTCGCGAATATACGAATAGGAATGTTTAAAAAAGAAAAAAAAAAACAGTAGGTACGTCTTGTCAGTATAATAGGGAAGATATACATTAGAATAAAAAAAAAATGTAAAATGGCCTTTAGACTTAGCGTTTCCGAGACCGAGAGTAAATACACAGAAATTAATATAAACATATTTTATCTGTAATAATTGAATGTTCATAAAAAAAAGTCGAGAACTAAATATATATAAACATTAAATAAAGCGGTTGTAAATTCTCGTGTTGTTTTCAAGCGAGAAGCGACTGCGCGCATTGTCCCATAAGAGAATAGTGTGAAACGACTGAACGGGCTACAGAGATCTTATGGGCTATATAGAAAATATGTGTTTTATCCGATATATATTTCTGACGTCTCACATTGAAACAAGGATATGTATCGTTAGTTACAGTATTCGTCGGCGGTGAATCTACCGAAATGAAAATACCATTACTAGTTTTTTAGTATTAGTCAGAGAAACGATGTTAGGAAACGTGAGAACACCTCGTTAGCTAATCTTCCGATATCTCGTTAGCCAATTTAGAGACTAAGATTAGGTTCTCCTCCTGAAGCCGCGGTTCGATAGTAAATCGATGATTTAACTGCACCAAATTATTTAACAGCAGCACGCAGCGTATCGATGTCAGTAATATACAAGTAGGACACGTATTATCGTTCATCGTTCACTAACTACACAAAAATTAAACTAAGTACACTTCGTTTTTCGCTTAGTTCCGCACGCCCTTCCTTTCACTACATTTTGACCAACGGTATTAATACGTTTTACTATAACTGCTATTATTAATACGACTATTCGCATTATAATTATAATTATTATTATTATTAATCTCGTTACGTTGTCATTTTCTTCTTTTTGTAAATAATCTGATATCTTTCTGCACAGCGGAAAGATCGGAGATGTTGGAGAAACGGAAACAGGCAGAGGGACACGAGAATGTTCACTCATATATAATACCAAAGTTTATCGTAATAAAATCTACTTCTCTTAGTTTTTCTACATTCCTTTTCATACACGATATTTGCCTCGGAAGGAACATGAGCCTGCGTATTATAAAATAGCATGTACATGTATACTTTCCTCGAGCGGACGTTTTTTCTACAAGTACAATTCTTTCTTCTGGATTTGAAACGGGGAACTTTGTATGTATTTACAACTACTTTGCAGACGTATTACGATTATCACTGCCTATACAACGTCGTCTCGAAGTGTACACAATATTTTATTGGTTTCTGTCGTTCGCGCAACAAGATAAAAATTCGTTCGGTCGCATTGTTTGGCACAAAAAAAATCTCCCGAGTGAACTGAAATTTATTCAGAGTTTAAATCGGTGAACTGATTTCGAATAATGATCTTTGTAACGCCGGCTGAGAAAATAGAACGCGCGCAAACCTCGGAGTAAAGCTATTTTCGATCGTCGTAAAATATGAACATACACAGTTTACATTTTATACAATTAACGGAGGCGTTTTTCATAGAATTGTTTTAAAACGTAAAATGGCTGATTGGGATACGTTCGAATTTGTTAATTGAAGATCGTACACTACGATTACGTTGAACATTAAAGTTACTGTTTTAACAAACCGATTGATTTGAACAGAGCACGCACATACATACGCAGTCGAAACGATAGTGAAATTTAACGCTGCGGGACACTGAGCTACGCAGGTATTAAAAAATTCTCATTACTGCGTATTATAAATTGACGGGAAGGCTTGGAATTAACTGTAAATAACGTTAAACACGCGTTTAAGTGATGATGGGTCATTTGATAAGAGCGTTTTTTCGTCTAAACTTTAGAAGGGGAAAAAAATTAAGTAAATGAATAAAAGAAGAAGACTAAGTTTACCATTCTCTAGTGTGATTTCTATGCTGGCCTTGCAAAATCAAAGAAAAGATTATCTATATTACAAAGAGATATGTGTTATATTATATTACGAGAGCGAGAGAGCGAGAAGTGAGTGTGCGTGCGAGCGAGAAAGAGAGATAAAATATTACTGCTATAAATATATATTTTGTATTTAATATTGTAATCGCCCAAATCTATCTAACAGAACTGCGGATACTATTATTCTCCGAAACACTACGACGCGAAAATATATATGTTTCTTATGACTGGTGTAGAAGTATTCGCATTCTATTTTTTCTTTTCTAATGCACGACTGTCAACTTCAAAAATCAGTGGTAATGATGTTCGCCAATAAATAAAACGATTTAAACCAACCCCTTGTGATTTGCATTTACATTCAATTCAAATTTTATGTACGCAAGGTAAGTGAGAAGATCCGCTTGTATTTACTTTAAACAATTTACATTACTATGAATTATACATTAATAAATACAAGACAAATGTGAGACAGTTAAGAAAAAAATATTAGAAGTATATAAATTTTTTGTTAACAAACCCTTCCGATCTTTTTTGTTAGTTTTCAATGCTGCCTTTCTCACAGCTTTCTTTCCTGCTTCAACTTAGGTCAAGATACGAGAACCAGTATCTTGCGTTTACGTTCACCGACTACCGTGGCAAACTGGTATTTTGCCAACTAGTAATCGGGCGAAACGATGCTCCAATAATCCAATGCTATCCATGTAACGGAATGGCAAACTATAATGCTATTACCTACCTAGTTGCTCCTAAGTCATCGTCACGTTCGAAATGGTGGCTCGAACAGGAGGAAATAACAGGGAAAATAATTGAACTGCAGGAAATTTAAGAAAGATGCAAATTCTCCGAGATATGTCTAGCAATTTTAATTTGTACAAAATTAATATATGTGAGAACATAATGAGAAGATCGAGATTGAATAATTTTTATAACACCTTAATGATAATAATACAAAATTACAAAGAGATAAAATAAATTATAAAACTATCGATTTAATTGTCATAATTATAATTATGAAACTATCGATTTAATTTTCATAAATATAATTTCCATTGGATCTACTAGAAAGCAATTAGCGAATTAATTTGAAGTGTACAATTGATAAATTGCATGAGTCACTATATTTACAAGTGTTAATGAAAGCGTTGCATCTTTTATCGCGACTTGAGATGCGCAGTAGTCTGCATCGTAAAAAAAAGCAAGAAAATTCAGTGAAAGAGATTCCAAGTGACAGTGGTTTCGAGGTCAGTGGAACACGCAGGAAGTTTCGATGGAAGCATCCACGTTTATCAGAAACAAACCAGACGTTTTTGCCCACACGTAAACTCTTGTATAGTAAATAAATCAGTTCATCAATTGCATCGATTCATTTTAATTGGATTCAGTATTACTGAACGTTCTAGTAACAATAATCAGATATAAGGAACCGCACAAGTAAAAATTTATATAGGATTTAAAAATAAAGATACCAAGTATGAGATTTGATTCTCGTTTTGCTTCTGTCATTCATATGTAGAGCATAAACAATTTATTGGATTCTTTTCCGGTCTGTTACATCTCGATTTAAATACACATCCACGTGAGTCAATAATCTGTTTTAAAATATCATTATTAAATGATTGACTGTGAAAGAAATAAAATGCTTGTAACGTCAATTCGGAAAATACTATTTATTATATATTATTGAATGAAGAGGAATCGTGGGAGTCCCGAAATTAGAAACTCGAGCAGCGAGAGAGATGCGAGGTCACGTTCGAGAGACTTTCCTCAAACAAGAAGCGTATCAAAACACGATGCTAAAGAGAAAGGATACAGCGACGCGTCCGCGATCTCGCGCAAATTGCTTAAGGAGGAAGAGGAAAAGAAAAAGCTGAATTCGCGAGAGCTGTTTGATGACCGCTACTGACTCCCACCGATTCCCGGGATAACTAGGATTCAATTTCGTATTTTATTTTAAATGCACGAGGTTCGTCGTTTCTTATCAACTCGAGTCAATGGCGGGGTGACTACGGCTCCCGACGGAGGAGAGGTTCCTCATCCCTGGTACAGACAGAGGAGCGTTTGACAAGTGTGTGTCGGTTCGCCTTTCTCTTAATTGACAGAAGCGACGAAGAAGAGTTCGCCGGTCGCGGCGGCGACTCGGAAGGCCCTTGCTACGTCACTGCGAAGCCCCGTGACACACATCAATGGGCCGAAATGTAACGGTACCCACTCTTGGTGACCTACTCTTCGGGGCCCAGCGCGCGCTCTCTCTGCCCCGTTCCTTCCTCCTTTCATCTCTTCCTCTTTCTCGGTCGGGTTCTCGGTCAAGCGAGCGTCGAACGTGATCGCACTCGCACAAACAGCGCACCCCGCTGCGTTTTGTGTTGGCCGCTGCCGTACGTATGCGCGAGTACATACGTACAGTACGTAAGTACGTATACACTTTTACCGGGCTGGTCGTCGCACGCGACGCCGATTGATTATACACACAGGCCAGTAATGAAAGCGTCCTCCTCGCGCGCGGAGGTGCTGTCATGTAGCCCGCGGAACGTCCTCTTCGTCCTTTTTACGCCGGCGAACCGCCTGTCAGTGAAAACGACATCGCAGACTCTGGTAGCTGCCGACCGACCCTCGGACCAAAACGATCCTTGCCAAGGTCCAAACATCTGAATCCAACGCCAAACGCGAGTTATGAACGTGATCGTGCATCTCGTTCTCCAGGTGAGCTCCTCGAAGTTGTTCTCCAGTTTTCGTTTAAATTTGTCTCCTGTGCATAAAAGTTCGAATCCCTTCATTCTTGTTTTTCATTGTAAAACTCAATTCGCATCGCTTTCGTAATATTTTTATACAGAGGAACTTGATAGACAGGTCTGTCTATGATTTAGTTCTGTTTAAAGTTCTGAGCACGACTGCTGCTGGAGAACCAGCTCTGTCTTGAATTTATTACAGTGCATGGGTGACCTACTGTAATCGTTAAAACTGTATTTAAGCACTTTCTTCTTCTGTATTATGAATCGCACGAGTGATGCTAAGATTTTCGTGCAGGTGATCACATATCAGCTTGTAACATGTCAAGGAGGTGGTGGACCAAGCACCTTCGGATACGACGCGTCCTCGGCTTGCAGTAAACCGTATTCTCGTTCCGGTCGCGCGCGGATGGAAAATCTACCCTGCGATTTTCGAAGGCAAAATTGGTGCACCATCGCAGGCAACTCCTACCCTTGGTAAGTCGATTTAATGGTGTTTTTATTGAATACAGTTTAACCAGTTGAGAATAAAATATGTAATGATAATGACAGAAAGATTGACAGTTAACAGATATAGGAAAGTGAATAAATTTATTATTCAATGATTCTAAAGTCTAGTTGCATTATTTATTAATGTGAAATATAAAATTAAACAATTTGGAGTATTCAAGTTCTTCATGAAATCTTGAACATCCAGAATCATAAATTCTGACCCAATGCTCTTTTTTTTAAATCATAATGAATTCATTAGTAATAGAAAGCGAATAAACCGAACGTGAGCAGAAACGTTCTGAGAGTTTCACTGCTGAAACGTTCTCATAACCAGCCTGAGTTTTAAGTTGTTAAAATGGTACGTGACCGAATTGCGAGAGTGCGAGGAAGTGCTTTTACTCTCGATAACGCGTTTGCTGTTCCAAAACGAAATAGAACAGCCGGATAAATAAAATAATAGATAAAACTGTCGGTCTTGATTATTAATCAAATTAATTAGTGAAAAATACTGTTTCGAAAGTCATTGAATAATTCATTTCAGGCATGCGGTCCGTCGTTTCGTGCACGAGAATCAAGGATTAATGAGACGCATGTATGGCGATGAAAGGCATATTAACGTGTTAAGAGCTGAATTTGAGAAGAACGAGGTTGAATTGAAATATGACGATTATTACCATCATTACTCAGATGATCACAGGTAAGCATCCACAGTACATAAATAAATCACGTTATAAAACAATTTTTATTATCCATTAAATTCTACATATTTTCTATGCCAACTAATACTTCAATAATCTAACTGGCATAGAAAATATTCAATCAACAAAATGTTCACTTGGAAATAAATGATCGCAGGAAATATCAATACACGCACGATTACGAGTACTTGGAGGAAGACAGTCTGAAGACCAGCGGGAACGAGTACGAGGGTCGTAGCTTCAACGATAACGCTGCGAAACGGATAAATAAATTCCCAAAATTGAGCGAGTACACGAGGCCCCATTTCCGACCGACCGAAAGGACCACCACCTCGACTTCCGCAACGACGGCCACAGCGACGACCACCTCGTCTTCCACCACCACCGTATCTTCTATCAAGGAAACGTCGTCACCGACGACACCATCGACACCAGTTGCCTCGACTACAAAATCGTCAGCAAGCTCGACGAGTAGCTCGACGAATAATACGATCGAGAAGGATGACTCGATCGAAGAGATAACGATATCGCCTACGGTGACGAGTTCTTACGCGGTGAGGGAACAGAACTTCAGCATCAACGAGATCTCCGAGCAGATAGACAGAATCGACGAGACGGTGGAGGATACCGCGGAGGTCGTCGAAGTCTCCGAGGCAACTTCGGACGAGACGACGACTGTGAATTTGTCGGAGACCACTGAACTACCGGACGAGCTCGAGGACCTGTTTGCCACGCCGAAAGAAACGACGGCGCAGGAGGACGAGGCGGCGCCGTCGTCCAGTTTGGACGAGCAGCAGGAGTTCAGGCCGCGGCCGGAATATCGACCGGCCAACAAGCCGGAAGCGTCGACGATGGAGGGCCAGCTGTACCAGGACGTAGCCGCGAAGGACCAACAGGAACAACCGGTTCTCAAGCTACGAGGAGTGTAAGTGTTCTCTCGGTTTATTTGCAGTCAGATTTCCGCGAGGATGTTTCACTTTTGTTCAACGCATGGGGGCGAGATAACTGGTTACGTTCATTTCATTGTGCGCGTATCCGTGTTGATACCATTTAACGGGATTACCGATTAACGCGGTAACGAGCTTGAAAGTAGGCGTTGTCGCGATTGCGTTATTAATTTACTATTTCCTGATTAGATGAAAACATAATAGAAACCAATGGAGAGTATTTATTTCATTAAATAAGATACAAGTAACACAGTAACTGAAATCTAATTAGACAACGTCTCAGTTGTTTTATTCAAATGATTTTCTGTACACGATTAAAATAATTGTAGGAATGCTTGCCCCGTGAAAGAGGAAGTGGTTGCGCCTTTTTGGGCGAACAATACAAGGGGCGAAGTACTAGCGCTTTTGAACCTATATCCTTTCGAGCAATACGTTCACTGGGAAAAATGCACGTAAGTATTGATGCATATTCACAACTCTTATTATTCAATTCATAACTCTTATTATTTCATACATGAGAAAATTTAGCAAGCATGTCTTTAAATAAAATATAATAATAAATTCGTATAATGTCTCAGAATAAATTATTCATAGAATTGAAATGCCAGTATGTACCATAAAATGGGATAAGATTATCTGGAACAAATTTAATTGCACTCTATAAATATTGATTATCATTCGATTTGTTGAAAGACACGAGAACAAACAGATGTATTGCCGAGACGGATGCAGATGCGAGCAGCAGTACAGGCTTCATCGGTTACTGGCTTACGATCCCAACAACGAGTGTCGCGGTATTTTCAGCGATTGGTTCAAATTCCCGAGCTGCTGTGTTTGCCGTTGCTACGACTTGCCCCTCGAGTTTCGTGTGACCTCCCGATCGCCACGTACCCAAAAGCAACGAATCAAAGTACAACCACCTCGTTACACGTAAGGAAGAAATTTTAATCTCTCGTCATTAGACTGCAGATTTTATTGATTTACAAAAATACTGTGCATTACATCCATATAAAGATTGCATATAATGTATAAAAATATACGGTATATAAATAGTTAGAATGCATGTAAATGAAACTGCGATGCATTTCTTTAACTGAAATAAAAGTTTTATTTTTCACAAAAATCTGCAGTCTATTCATCATTATTACAATTCAAAATTTGCCATAGGTATTAGTTTTATGATGCGGTTTGTACATAAGAGAAAATTGAACGTGTGTTAGATATAAAAAAAGTTATTTCATTTAACAGTAAATGGTGCCTCGATTGTTATCATTATTTA